CCGCCCCCGCCGCCCGTCCTTATTGGGCCCCCCCTCAGCTTCCCCGATCCTCCCCCACCATTGGCTGGAGCTCCAGACTGGTTTCCCAACTGCAGTTGCTCATTCGATTACTGTCATGCCAGTCTCTTCGTGTCTACCCAATCAGAGCTTGCAGCGAGCTGCGCTGTCAATCAAGGGGCGGCGGAGGCCAATGAGAGCAGGGGAACCCCCCGCGGCGTAGTCCTTCTGTAGGGTTTCGGGGCGGGCCCTGGGTTCATTCACAACATTCCTCCCCCGCCCCCTTGGGGCTGGACAGCGCGCCCCGGGCAGCTGGGGCTGCGCCCACACACGGCTTTGTTTACTGAGGGTCGCTTCCGGGCGCCGTGAGGGGACAATCCACACGGTCCGACCGGGGAGCGAGACAGAGCGGCGGGGGCCGGGGGCAGCGGCTCAGCCCCTCCTCCCTTGAGCTGTGTGACCCGAGAAACTCACTCAACCTCTCTGGGCACCTGGTCGAGTTTTGATGCTCCGGGCGGGGAATGGGGGAGTCGCGGGCTCCTAAGCAGGATTTTGGGGGACTGCAGACCCCTTCTGCAGAAAGGGAGCTTCGTTAGGGGGTTCGTAGACTTGCTTTAAGCCGATCCTTGAGCTTCAAGTCCGGACATATCAGATCTTTTCTCCGTCCTTAATGTTATGTTGAATCATGTGAGATTGTTCATTGTTTTACTATTTTTGGAGAACTTTTTAAGGGCCAGGAAGTGGCATGGTGATTAAGGCGCTGGATCCCACATGGCAGATTCTGCTGTGAGAGTCCCTGGACCTGACGGCTTGAAAAACTCGCCAAGAGCAGGCATGTGCATGCCTGCCCAAAGTCCCAAGAGGAGAATGGATTGCAGTGTGGCCATCCTCCCTTGGGGGTGATTTCTCATTTTTGCTGTCTGTGTCTCACCCGCCCCCATGCAAAAAAAAAATCTAAAATAAAAAGATATATGTAGCCGGGGCTGGCAGGTGGCGTGGTGGTTGGGGTGCTGGACTCCCCCACCCTGCTGACCAGGGTTTGAGTCTCGGCGCCTTGAAAACCACATGGGACTCGTGTGCGTGGTTACCCAAAATCCCAGAAGGAGAATGGAGGAGAAGGGATTGCGGCATGGTCATCCTCCCTGGGGGGTGGTTTCTTACTTCCTCTCTCTGGCTCTCTCAGAACGCAGTCACCTTATTGGGGCTAGCAGGTGGTGTGAAGGTGCTAGACTCCCACATGGTTAACTGTGGTTCGAGTCCCAGACCTTCTCTTTCTCACTTCCTCTCTAGTCAAATTAAAAAAATAGTAATACATGGAATTAAATAAATGAATAATTCTTGATTTAAAAATATATATGTGTATTTTATATATATATATATATATATATATATATATCCAACTGCAGGTCCATGTACCTGTAGTCCCAGCCATGCTATACTCGAGGCTGAGGCAGAAGGATTGTGAGTTCAAGGCCAGCCTGGGTGACATAGCCAAACCTTGTCTCTATTTTAAAAAAAGAAAATTGGGACCGGCAGATGGCATGGTGGTTAAAGATGCTGAACTCCCTCATGGCTGACCACAGTTCGATTCCTGGACCTGGTGGCTTGCTTTCTCACTTTCCCTCTTTCTCTCTCTCTCTGTCCCTCCCTGGTCAAATTTAAATAAATAAGTTAATAAAGTTAAATTAAATAATTCTTTTTAAAATTTTTTTGCAGAGGATTTCGCTATAGGGCACATGCCCTCTCCAGAAAGACAGAGAGAGACAGAGAGACAGAAAGCGAGAATCACCCTCCCAGGGGGATGACCACACCGCAATCCCTTCTCCTCCATTCTCCTCTCGGGATCTTGGGCATGCACACACACGCGCCCGGCGTGAGTTTAAGCCACTGGGTCTGGGACTCGAACCGCGGTCGACTACGTGGGAGTCCAGCGATGTAGCCATTATGCTAACTGCTGCTTTCTTTTAAAAAGAAAATCAGATCACTTTTACTGACGTACCAGTACACAGACCAACCCAGGTTTGGAAGGCATAACGATGTTTGTACAGTAATTGTCATCGAAGCAAATGACGACACAGAGGGGTCTGAAATGGCCGCACAGTGACACGATGCCTTAGTCAATGAAGGAAACTGGTCGCTCACTCATCGCTGTCTCATTGCGCAGTCTTCACGAAGTCTTCTTTCTTGGTTGAGGCTCTAAGCTCAGGAATGGCCTTGGGTCTGACCTTCTCTTTGCAAGAGGAGCCTTTGCCGATGCTGAGTGTTATTTATTTATTTATTTTTTTGAGAGTTTTTTTGCTACAGGGTGTGTGCACTCGCCAGACAGACAGAGAGAGAGAGACAGAAAGCGAGAAATCACTGCCCGGGAGGTTGGCCACGCCGCAATCCCTTCTCCTCCATTCTCCTCTCGGGATCTTGGGCACGCACACACACGCGCCGGGGGTGAGTTTTAAGCCACCAGGTCCGGGAATCAAACCGCGATCGACTACATGGGAGTCCAGCGACATAGCCATTACCCTAGCTGCTGGTCCCAATGCTGAGTGTTCTTGATGCCCTTTCCCCCAGCAGTAACCGTGTGGAGAAGCAGGTACCGTCCGTCTCCCGGTGACTTAACAAAGGAACGTTCCACAATGGCTTCCTTTCCATTCACTGTGTCCACAAGGGAGAAGACAAGCCGGATGCGTCCAGTGAGCGTTGTCAGCTGGTCCTGGGGGAAGCCCACCTTGCGGGGTAAGTCCACAGATCAGGGGGGCCACGGTCTTCCCAGCATGGCCGCTGATTACTGGGCCGTTGCCTTGAGCTGGATCCAAATTCTTCAACTACAGTGCTGGCTCTGACAGTGCCCAGGGTTGTCACACCGGAGATGTTACTGGGGTTGTATACTCCATGTTTCTTGAAAACCCATGTGGGGACCAGCAGCTGGCTTAACGACTATGTCGCTGGACTCCCATGTAGTGGACTGCAGTTCGAATCCCGGACCCGGTGACTTAAACTCACGCCGGGCGCGTGTGCGTGTGTGCCCAAGATCCCGAGAGGAGAATGGAGGAGAAGGGATTGTGGCGTGGCCATCCCCCCTGGGGGTCATTTCTCGCTTTCTGTCTCTCTGTCTCTGTCTCTCTGGCAAACGCACGCAACTATAGCAAAAAACCTCTCCAAAAAAGAAAGAAAAAGAAACTTCCGATATGATCCGGCCGGTGGAGTGAACCGGCTGGCGATGTTGCAGACCGTGGATTCAGGACAGCGCTGGGCACAGGCTGCGGCCAGGGTGGCCACGATTGTGGCATTGGTGGTGACCAGGTCATCTCGGATCATGCCTGGCTTTCTGGGGACTCCGGCAGGAATAACCACCGCATCGCGACCTTTCAGGCAGTCCGGCGGCGGCTGGGGCCCACATTCGCTCTGGTCTCTGTGTGGCTCGGGTCTGCAGCCAGCCGGGGTGGAGGCGCAATACCGCAGAGGGTCAGTCGGCGCACTAAGAGGCTGCCCAGACCCTCGGGAAGCCCCTCGCCGGCTACTTTAGCATCCCTCTGGCCGAGGTACTGAAGCTGTGGCGGAGAGCCGTGCTCACAGGCCAGGGCGAGGGCGGAGCGCAGGACTGGGGGCTGGGGGAGAGGGGGCCACGGACCTTCAGGGGCAGGAGCTGGTGGCGAACAAGTGAGTTATTTTTTAATGATATTTTTATTTAACTTTATTTATTTGCTTATTTTAGAGTGATAGAGTGAGAAGTGAGAGAGAAAGAGAAAAGCAAGCCACCAGGTCTGGGACTTGAACTACAGTCACTCATGTGGGAGTCCAGCACCTTAACCACCACGCCACCTGCTGGCCCCAGATACATGATCAAGGTTGCGCCTCCCTCTAGTTCTGCAGGATGGGGCTTTCACCTCTGTTTTTTGGATGTGGAAACAGGCTTGGAGAGTCTGAGCCACGTGCCTGAGGTCACCCAGGTGGCAGCTGGAGCCCTGGACTTCCTGGGGAGCCTCTGTTTTTTGCAAAGGATTTTGGGAAAAGATCCGTCTAAGGGGAAGGAGCTGGTGGTGTGGAGCGGGGAGATGCTGCCCTGCAGACAGGACCCAGGGTCCAGGTTTTCCTGCGGAGCCTTTGGCATCGGATACTTGGGCGTGTCTACAGGTCCAGTCCTCACCCTAGACCAGGTTTCAGCGCGTGTCCTGAGCGGCTGACCCGGAGAGCTCACTCCGATGGACGCCCCTTAAAGTCAGGAGGGACTGGGACCAGCAGGTGGCGTGGTGGTTAAGGCCCTGGACACTCCCACATGGCCAACCATGGTCAGAGTCCCGGACCTGGTGGCTTGCTTTCTCCCTCTCTCTCTCTGCCTGGTCAAGTTAAAATAAATGAATGTATAAATAAAATTAAATAAATAATTATTTTTAAAAAACTTTTATTTATTTAGAGGAAAGTGAGAAAGCAAGTCACCAGGTCTGGGACTCGAACCATGGTCGGTCATGTGGAAGTGTCTAGCGCCTTAACCACCATGTCGCTTGCTGGTCCCCAAAATTAAATAATTCTTAAAAAAAAACAAAACAAAACAAAAAAAGGAGCTGGCAGGTGGCGTGGTGGTTAAGGGCGCTGGACTCCCACCTGGATGACCACGATTCAAGTCCCGGACCTGGTAACTTGGCTTTCTCACTTTCCATTTCTCTCTCTCTCTGTCCCTCGTCCCTCTCTGGTAAAATTTAAAAAAGCAGTAAATAAATAAATAAAGTTAAATAAAATAATTCTGAAAACAAAAAAAAGAAACGAGGCTCAGAGAGGGCTGGCAAGTTGCCCGAGGCCACACAGCACCCCGGGAGAATGTGGAAGGTCAGGAGGAGCACTAGGAAGTTGGGGTCTCTAGGCCTATTTCCAGCCGGGCCCC